GCAGCTGCCCATAAAGTGTTGGAGCTAAGCTCTCACTCTGAGGAGGAGCCTAAATTTGCTTTTGAAACATCAAGGCTACACTGATCTGCTTACAACTATTTTATCCAGGGTCAGGTGATAATATTTCGGCAGCCTCTCTTTTGTATTTAACATATCACCGTATCCTTTATCAGAGACTCAATATAAATTCCCTAAATTTATATTGTTGAGTCTGTTCAACTCCAAAACATGCCAGTCAGCCCTCACTCTTTGACTTTGTGTAAAAAAAAAAAAAATCGTCCTGGAAAAAGTAATGTTTCTCCTAAGGACAAAATACAAGCACTTTTCTATTGGGCATTTGCAATTTTTGATTATCTTTTTCTCTGGAAACTGAAATATGTTGCAAATTTCTTGGGTCTCTTTGCCAGCAAAATTTCAAGAAAGCACTCTGAAGCCTTTCTTCTCTCTGCTCGACCTGCTAGCAATCAATACAATGGAAAGGCCTGAAGCTATTTAGACCAATTCTGTACTGTACAGTGTTTCTTCTGTTATCAGAATCCCAGGAGCTGGAAATGAAACCTATTTAGAGTTCATTCTGTTCAGGGTGGGGCTGTTGTAACCCTGCCCCACCCCCCATGGCCCCCCCCCCCCCCCACAGCTCACTCCATGGGCCCAAAGTCCACAATCAAGTCACTTACAACAAGCCCTTTTCTTCACAGGGGAGATGTTAAGCACAAACATAAAACAACAGTAAACATCCCACAGAAAAGGATGCAAGTCTTCATATAATATGCCCATTTATGCCTTGCATAAGAATTCTGGATTTATTCAATTGTCCACTTTTTATTTTCTTGGCTATCCAAGATATTCTCAGAAGTCTTCACCATAGTGTCAGTAATCTTCCTAACCTGTTTCTTCAAAATCCAACTTTTGTTTCGTTAGAATATCACAAGGAAAACCACTGCCTGCACAGTTCTGATCTTTGTAGATATAGGCACATCACAGCATCTGAATAATTTGCCAAGGCCTTTTACCAAATATTAATCTCTGTGGCATTTTTCCTGACTGCTGGTTCCTTAACTCCAGTCAGTCTTAAAAGACAGAAGCTATTCACCACTTCATTGCCAATTCTAAGGCTGGTTGCGATTGTCAGTGGTTTGGGATTCTTTCCATTTAACCTTACTCTCATTTTTCACTATGTTCCTTGGCTTTCATTATAGGTAGTCCTTGACTTACAACCCAGACTTTCCATTGCTAAGCAAGGCAACTGTTAGGTGAATTTTGCCCCATTTTGCCACCCTTTTGCCATAGTTGTTAAGTGAATCATGCAGTCATTAAATAAATCTGGCTTCCCCCGTTGACTTTCTTTGTTGGAAGCCAGCTGAGAAGATTACATATGGTGGTAACGTAAATATATGGCAGCTGCAAAGTGCCCGAATTTTGATCAGGTGATCATAGGGTTGCTGCAACTATTATAAGGATGAAAACTGGTCATAAATATATATTTTTTTGCAGTGCCACAGTAACTTTGAATGGTCACTAAATGAATAGTTGTAATTCAAGGACTATCGTTAATAGTATTTGCAGATCTTTTCTATTTTCAGCTGTCAAAGTAATGTCATCAATATAGTCCAGATTATTGATCTTTCTTCCTCCGATTGTAAAGTCACATTTATATTCTTCCAGTCCAGGTTCCCTCAATATACACTGCTCAAAAAAATAAAGGGAACACAAGCAGAAGACATCCGAGATCTGAATGAATGAAATAGCCTTAGTTTTGTGTTCCCTTTAGTTGTTTGAGCAGTGTATAAACTACTGTATGTAAAGAACAAAGTATTTAATAAGGCTATTTCATTCATTCAGATCTCGGATGTCTTCTGCTTGTGTTCCCTTTATTTTTTTTAGGAGTATATATATTAATGTGTAGGTTGAACAAAAAAATAAGGGAGAGTATACAGCCATGAGTTTTCTCCATTGTATAAAAAGTTCTTAAAATCACACTCTGCATCTAAAACTCATCCATCTTCTAAAAGTGGATTCATTCATTTGCATAACAGTTGGCTTATTATTGTTAAGAGATGAAATTTTAAGAAAGAAAGTATGATCAATGCCCCTGCAATGGAACATTGACCTTCTGGCCATTCTGGGAAACAGAGTTCTTGCAAACAAATAAATAAATAAAATGTAAATAATGGTCTGAGACAAGGTCAGAGTGGGGATGGAGATGAGGGGAATGCTCATTTTCCAGGGAATGTAGGCAGAATCTAAGGGATGAAATTGGTGCCATTTTCTCTGCATCTACTAATAGCAGATGAATAATAATCTAACAAGAGATGTTAACATGCAATTTAGGCAGTGGTGGGATTCAGCCAGTTCGCACCACTTCGGGAGAACCAGTTGTTAACTTTCTGAGCAGTTTGGCAAACTGGTTGTTGGAAGAAATCATTAGGGCAGAGAACCGGTTGTTAAATTACTTGAATCCCACCACTGAATTTAGGTACTGCATTATTTGCTTCCTTGCCTGCTCTTGCTTGGAAAGGTACATGATTTCTTTTGTCTATAATGGCATTTTTCCTCTAGTAATTCTGCTTGTAAAAAGCCCCTCTTGTCTTAACAAGCAAGTTTCTAGCAGGGAGAATGTATGACATAAGGAACCATTTAATTGGTATAAATATGTATGCTAACTAATTCGTAAAAGTCTAAATGTCTGGGATTGAGAAATAGATTCTGAAGAAATCTGCCAATCATACATGCTCTGAAAACATGCAGGCCTTCTCCATTGTAAAATGCAAGAGCACTGCCCACATTTTTTCCACACTGCATAATGATTTCATCATCCTTGCTTTTGTAAAACTTCCAGGGTCTTGCAACTAACATTGCATGGTCAGAGCATTTTCAGAACAGGGTAAACAGTACAAAGTTTATTGCAGAAGTTAAGATTTAATCTCTTGTAGTAGTTTATTAAATTTCTGGCATTTATCCTCCATAAACTAAGGAACTCCTGTTCTTACAAAGTGCTTGTATACATTCCATATTCTCTTAAAATCCCTGCTGAAGCAAAGTCTTTTACCTGCGGCTATTCTGGTGTTAAAAGTAAGTTTTTGAAAGGGTATGGGAGGAAAATGGATGATGGAGGCAAGGGATGTAGCTGAACAATTTGTAATTTGGGTTGTGCAATGGCGTTTATGAGTCTTCCACTTGTCTGATTGAAATGAATGAAAAGGACCACTTCCATTTTAATATGCATATTAAAATGTACATATTATAATTTATTATTATAGTAAAATATAATACAAACTAAACTGAAAGAAAGAAAAGAGAATATAGGAATAAAAGTGTTACGGTGGCACAGTGGTTAGAATGCAGTGTTGCAGGCTAACTCTGCTCACTGCTAGGGGTTCACTTCTCACTGGCTCAAGATTGACTTAGCATTCCATCCTGTGTAAGAGTATAATAAAGAGAAAAGAAATATATAAAGAACTGACATCCAACCTTTATGACAATAAATATAAAAAGTTTAATAACTATTCATTCTATCTAAAGTTACAAACATTTATCTCTTTATCCCATCTCTTATCTATAAACAAATCCCCCCCTCCCAAAATTTCAGCCCTGTTGTCAGCAGAAAAGCCAAAAAGGGTATCCAGTAGTAATAACAGTTATTTTGTAAATAATTGTGAAGCAGGTGTTGTGACCCACTTAGGATCACCAAGGGAGATAGACACCAGATCTAAAAAGATCTTACTAGATTTCCCTCCTTGAGAGCTTCCTTTTTTGGAGCATCTGTATTTATTTTTCTAGACAAACACACAAGCTTATGCTTACCCTTTTATCTCTCAAATTACAGCTAAAGTGACTTAATCAGGGAGGACACTAAGTTCAGAAAAAGATTTATGCCCATTGGGCATTTTAACCTGTGGCGCCCTTCCATGGCGATCCTTTTCTCCTTCCATGATCTGCCAGATATTTCAAAGGCTCAGATTGTGGAGCTCCTGAGATTGTGGGGCCCTGGAGCTCAACCAGAAAATTCAGTCTTAACTATTACTGGCAGATTCTACTTATTTTGCAAATGAAGGCAAATATATATGTCCCAGCATAACGTTGAAGGATCTAATCTGAATTGGTCACCAGGACCAAAGCTTTATTCTTTCAGCTATGTGGCTCTTGCTGGAGCCCATCATCAGGGAACTTTTCTCTCTCTAGAGCAGTGGTTCTCAACCTTCCTAATGCCATGACCCTTTAATACAGTTCCTCATGTTGTGGTGACCCCCAACCATAAAATTATTCCTAAAACCATTGAAAATATGTGTTTTCCGATGGTCTTAGGCAACCCCTGTGAAAGGGTCGTTCGATCCCCAAAGGGGTCGTGACCCACAGGTTGAGAACCACTGCTCTAGAGTATGTGCACTAGGCTTTTCTATATGTTGTATTTATATGGTGCATGATTGTATGTAGCTTTTAGTTGTTAGTTAGGGTGTTGATAGTTGGCTATTAAGTCATTGATTGTTGTTTCCTTGTCCTGCTCTGCTTGGCTCCTAAGTACTTGATAAACTGATGGTAAATCAGCACTCCTTTTGATTGATAAGGGACCTGTTTCCTAGGCTTCAATCATTTTTCTGGCTATTTTTGTCCCTGGTTGGCCCACAGTTGTAATAGCTGTGAAATGGAATGTATGTCCTTGTTGACTGCAGTATGAGGCTCCCAATGAGTTTGGGTCTCCTTGACTAACTGCTCACTCATGTTCTCACAATCGGGTGGTTAGCTTCCTCCCTGTCTATCCCACATAGTCGCAGTGGCAATCCATGCAGAGAATCTGGTAACTTGTATTTGAAGTTTCTCCCACCTGCAAACAATCTTTGTAGTGCATGATTTGTCCTTGTATGGTAGCCTCTGGGCAGTGGGCAATGCCCATTGGTAGATCTCGGAAGTTGCATTCTACTTGGTTCTGAAATATATTTGATGGATGGCAGGGTGTGCCACATAATTGGTCTTGTACCTTCATTCTTCCTTTCTCTCCGCAGGATATTGCACCTTGTGATATTGCATCTTGTGATAAACTCTTGTGATTACCTATTCTGCCTAAATTGTTCAGGTAGGTACTCTCTCTCTTTGTTTGTTGGGTACTACAGTGTGTTCTCACCCTGACATATAATGTTTTGACACTACTCTTTTCATGTGACAGTGAATGGTTAATGTTGAAGCTCAGAATGCATGGAGTGTTGGTAGCCTTGCGATATACTGTGGTTTCTAGGCTTCCATCTTCCTGTCTATTCATAAGCATATTCATGAATTAAGCAGCTCTGCTTTCTCTCTATTGCCCATCACTTCCTTGTCATCATCTCCTATTAGCGGACCAATTGTTTCTTTGCTTTTTTATTATGTTTTATATTTTAAAAGAAACGTATTATTATTTTTGACATTTGTTGCAAATCTTAGTTCATTCTTTCCTGACGTCTTTGCAGATTCGGACTATGTGTTGATATTCTGCCTTAGTTATGTGTCCCACTTTCCATTCTTTAATACTTTGTGCAAAGATGCTAGTTTCTTCTTGGATTTCTTATTTTTCTTTTTCAGTGGTTTTGTACTGGACTGGGCTTTTATAATCTTATTTTTTTGGAGTTTCCCAAGCTTGTTGAGTTGTTTTCCCTTTTAGATTTTCATCAATGGAATCCTTCCCAAGCTCTCTTTACGTTTGTTGAAATTAATTCCTAGACTTCAAAATATCTTGAAACTCTTAATAAACCTTAAATTAACTATTTAATTAAATCCCAATTAATTTAATTACAATTAATTAATTTAAGTAAATCTTGAAATACAACCAGATGCCTCTTCATTCCATACCTCACCCAATTTTCTACAAACTAATCTCTATATCTTCAACTCTCATTAATTAACAAAAATACTTAACAATATAAGTATATGATCCTCCTTTTCATTTAATCTAAATCCTCCTCAATGCTCTCATACCAGAAATAATAACTTGTTATTTAGATATCCAAAAATAATGAAGTAGATATTACAAACTAATCCATAGCATCATCAAACATAAGGAAGGAAGGGAGGGAGGGAGGAAGGAAGAAAGAAAGAAAGAAAGAAAGAAAGAAAGAAAGAAAGAAAGAAAGAAAGAAAGAAAGAAAGAAAGAAAGAAAGAAAGAAAGAAAGAAAACTATCAAATCCAGGTAACCATTAAACATAACTAAAGATATCTGATGGAAGTTCAGTCATGGCAACTGGACTTATTTTCTTGTTGATTTGAGACTTCACTGCCCATCCAAGCAGCTTCCAGACAATTCTATCTGGATGACTGAGAATCTTCATCAATATCACCAATGATATTATTATTATTTATTATTTAACCACAGTCAAATAGATCAATGTTATTTTTTTCCTTCTCCTCCCAACCATCCCTTAGTTCCATAGATAAAATTTTAACTCCTGTTTCCTTCCAATCTCGTTTCTTTTCTTGAAGTTCTTATCATCTTTATCCAAATCCATTTGTAATTTCCATGAAATAACATCAGTAAATATTTCAGTTTAAAAGGATAGTCCACATCACTCTATAGATATATTATTTCTATGTCCCTTTTGATTTTTAAATTATCATTCAATGCCATTTGTACATTTAGTAATGCCATCTCTTTTTTATCAATTGTAATTTTTAAAATCCATCTTAAAGTCCATTTCAGTTGTGTTCAAGAAAGATTGTTTATCTTCAGCATCAACTTTTAATTCCAGGAAAGAATTAAAAACTCAAGGACTTCATCAGCTCACAAATCAAATGTTTCTTTCAAAGTAGCCATCATGCACTTTAGCAATTGACCTTCAAAATCTTATTTAGCATTGAAATGTAAAATAGAGAGATTTTTCCCAGAGGAGGAATATTTCTAATTAGTTTCAAAGTTTTTGAAGTGTGCAAACCAGCGTTTGCATTTCCTGCGTCAGATTAGAAGAGCATATCTTTCTCCTTCTGTCCTGGCCACATTATACAGAGGCACGATTGAGAGTTTTAACAAACTACATTACTGTTTGGTTTAGTGGTAGCAGTGCCACAGTTAGAAGGCCGATACAGCTGCCTTTTTCATTAGAATGCCCTGCAGTCCGTGAGCAATGGAGACAGATGTGGGCAACAGCTCACCTCATTAGAAGTCCTCCGCTCCAACCCACTTTCTGATATTCATCAGTGCAGGCATTCTTGGAGACCAATGAAATGTTGTTCTGCATAGAATGTAATTGGCATTCTATAATGGTTTTCTTTCAAAAATATACTTGTTGAAGTTATTATATCCCTTCCTATTCTAGAATATATTGAGCATTTCACAGGTTGCAATTCAGGTGACTATGCATGGAGAATTTGGGAAAACTGAACACTTTGGCACTTATTTCTGACCCACAAATCAGCTTCAACAATACAATAATGCAGAGTAATATGTATACCTGTCCTTTCCTTATAGGCCATTTCTTACCAAAGGACATTATGGCAATTTCTGTCATTTTAATTGAAACTGCCTGCCACAGATAGGGAAAGGAATGAATCATTTCTCTCCCGTCCAAAAAAGTCTTCCCACACAAGGTCATCTATATATATAGTTTCTCCAATCTTTGGCTAGCTTTATTTCCACAGAATAAGCAGCTATGCCTACACAAGTCATCAGATTCTGTCAAAAATGAAAAAGTTCTTAACAGTTTCCTTTCTTTAAGGGAAAAAAAGCAACAACAAAAAAAGTTAACAGTGGTGAATTCTATCGTCATGCTCAATAAAATAGGTTTATCTTGGTGGTGATTAGGTTGGACATGGCTATTGCTTGTATAGATGATGGCAAGAAAACCAGGTCTATAGACTAGGCAGGGAAGTGGATTTCACATTTTTTGGGTGAAGATGAGTATAAATACCATATATAATAAAAGAATTACTTGGAATTATAACACATTTTGCTTGGCTTATATTTCTGAGATCACCCAAATCAGGGGTCTCAGATTCGTGGAGTCATGGCGGCATCACATGACATATCAGGACTTTTCCTCCTTTGCTAAACTGGGCAGGGCCGGGGCCAGCATGTGACGCATCTGGTCCGCGGGCCGCGAGTTTTGACAGCCCTGACCTAAATGAACTCCAGATGCTTTTGTGAGATCTTGTTCATTAGATGGTAGGTTCTTGCTTATACCACTATTTCTTTTTCAACTTTATTTTAGGATTTTCATCTGGAATTCTATACCTGTTATATTAATTCAGTCTCTCTCTTCCTACCAGGTTCGTCTCACTTTGTTTTGAAATGACTCTTGTCTGTTTGTCAGATTTTGAAGCATATGCTAAAAAGCATCTTCCCAAGCCTATCTGGGATTATTTTGCAGCAGGTGCTGATGAATGTTATACGCGGGATGACAATCTCATGGCATATAAAAGGTAGGATATAAAGTAAGTCTCTGAAAGAAGATAGCTACTCATAACTGAGTCAGATGTATCCACTTTGAGATGTAGCACCAAGCCAACTGAATTTTATTCTCCTCATTCACTCTCTGATGCAAACTCAGATAGATATGAATGATCTGGTATTCACTAGACTAGAAATTTGATTTGAGAAAAGAAATTGGCTGTGAATATGCTAACAGCTGATAACAGCCTAGGAGTTTTTTTTGTTTCAAGTTTTTCATTTTATTTTATGTATACATATCAATGTGTGAATAGTGTGGCACCTGGGTGTCATACATTCTAATACAAATAAAACTAGTAAAATTAATCATAGTTATTACATTCAACCAACTTATACATTTCTAATAATAATACACATTTGTATTGTTGTAGTTATCATTATTTAATTATTCCATGTTTTAATATATTGCTCTAATGCCACTCACCATATTATTTGATCATACATAATAATACCGCCATTCAATTTCTAAGCTTCCCTCTTGTTATTACTTTTATTTTATTATGTAAAAATGTATACATTAATATTCCCCCTTTCTCTTATTTCTACCTCTGTTCCAACTTTTAATCATGTTACCATTTTATTAAAAGACGTTTTCTTTCTATCCAACATCTCTCGCCCACTTAGGTGCTTTGAATCCTGTTCATTTTTAACTTACCTCCCATATTTCACTCTTTAAATCTATTTGTATTGAGATACAATCATTCATTATTTCATTATTCGATGTTTCAATATACAATTCTAATACCAATTCCAATATTATTTAGACATACAAAATTATTCCAATCATATTCTTTAGAATAATCAAATCTATATAACTCTGATAGTAATACACATGTTTATATTAAAGTATGTTCTTTCATTATTTAATTGCTCGATGTTTCAATATATTATTCCAATGCCAATCACAATATTATTAAAATGTACTTAATAATGCCATCATTCCATCTCTAGTTTTCCCATTTTATTGTTACTTTTATTCCATTATATAAAGGTATGTATATACAAATGTTTCCCCCTTCTCTTATTTCCACCTAACTTCTAATCATGTCACCATTCTAAAAAAGAAGGGAAAGAAAGAGAAAAAGAAAAGCAAATTAAAACATTAAAAAAAAGAGAAACCCTTTCCTTTCTATTCATCTCTTGCTGCTTCAGTACTTTAGTTCAGTGGTGGGTTGCTACTGGTTTGCCCCGGTTCGGGCATAGGTGGCGGAAGGCTCCACCCACCCACCCGGACATCATCAAATACATTCTGTGCATGTGCAGAAGTCTCTGTGCATGCACAGAAGTGGTGTGTATGCGCAGAAGTGGTGTGCCCATGAGTGAAGCAAGCACACACAAGCAAAGCAAGTGCACATGCGCAAGCAAACCAGTAGCAAAGGTAAGTGAAATCCACCACTGCTTTAGTTGCTATTGTCAGGGCATCGATTAATCCCATCATTGGCTCTGGGACAATCACCCTGATTAATTAATTAGAGGATGGGTCGTGGCTTTCTCCAAGTTGCAATATTCTGAAAAGAAAACCCGAAGAAATATTTTCTAATAAAACTCATTTATTGTTATAAAGAAAATAAAACACCTCACTAACTAAGAAAGATAATTGCTACATTTTGAAATAGTTCGGGCCAGCTGCTTTCCAGCAACCGGCACTCGTGGCATGAGAACAAAGGAAAGAAGTGTGTGAAGGAATGTGGGTGGATGGACATGCGTAGTAGCTTTTGATAACAATTCTTGGCAAGGTACGGAAAGTCTGATAGTCCAGAAATATGAAGCTCAGCTGGTAAATAAAATAATGCAGTGACAGCTTTGCTTTTTTTTGACTTGCCTCCCATATTCCTCTCTTGGATCTTTATCTCTGTCTGCATCTATTTCTTGGCTATTCAATCAAGTATTTCTCCCATCTCTACCCACTTCCACTGCCTAGCTTCCAAAGTATCTGCCCAAACCTCTATCTCCTGTTCAAAAGTATCTTCCTGTATCTCCAATTCTCTTTTCAACTCTCTTAAAATATTTTCCCCCTGGTTTAATTCATCAATCACTGTTATTTTTATTACTATCTCCTCCTTGTCTTTTTCTTTTGTTCGCTGGTTCTTTGGTTTTATCTTTTCCTCCATTCCTTCTGTTAGTTCCTCCTTTTTCTGAGCATCTAGATCTTTACCCATCATCCCTTGTACAGTATTTTCCATTTTTTCCATAATCTCCTTAAATCCTTTCTCCACGATGTCCTTTGTGCTTTAGAAAATCAATGCCATTTCCTTCAAAGTTCCACTCATTTCTTCCTTATGAAGCATCTTATTTTGTTTTTAAAAATCTTTTGTCCAGTAGTCCAAGAACCATTTATTCAGACCTAAAATTGCCCTTCAAAAAGTACACTAATCACAGTTCTTTGTATCCCATAGGAAATCAGTCAGTACTGTTTAAATATTTCCAGAAGTTATCAAAAGCCTCTTTATGTCCCCTTTACAGATTCAATCCTCTAGTATAACATTGAGGTGTCACTTTAATTAAATAACTTCCTTGTTCTCATATTTGAGTCTCCAGGAGTCGTAGGGTAGTTAAATATAACCCAGTAAATATTTTCATAATTCTTCATGTAAGTATTCCCAGTATATTTGTATATTTTCCTTTTGTCAGCACTCCCAACTTAAATTTCAGTGTTGCCACTAATCAGTTTAATTTTAGTTATTTTGAGCGTAATTTTAATTGTAATTCAATTATAGAAGCAGGATAAGTTTTAAAAGTAAATAATTCCAGCATTTTAAAATGCCTTCCCATTGCCACATCTTCCCAGTTTAAGAGTCCAATTTTCTGTATTTTTAGAAAATTATTGTTTTTCTCTCTTTAGATCTTTTTCTTCCGGTCTGGTATTTTTCTCAGAATGCTTAATCGCTGCTTTAACAAGCAATTCTGAGTAGATAGTTCTAAATTATTCCTTGGGGTTAGGTAAAAAGGAATCCTCTCCCCCAGTTCTAGTCACTGTTCACCTACTTCGCTCCAGCACCAGTCTTAGTTGTTCCTCAGTTGTCCCAGCTTCATGGCAGCCATCTTTTGGCTGCTCTTCTTCTTGCCGTGGCTGAGAGGGAAAAAGAACCCTGGGTTAGACAGGAGAGTTGCGACTCTCCATGATCTCACAGGGCACCCCTCTTTGCTTCACTGCCCCTACCAGGTGGTTTTGGCTCCTTTCGGAGCCTACCAATGGGGAAAACTCAGCACAGAAGCACAGAGACCCACTTCTTGTGTCCAATCTCGCTGCGACGTCAAACGGAAGCCCCTGATGACACCCTAGTTTTGATTAGTGTTCTGGCCACTTCTCACAGAAGTGTGTGACACAGCCTGGCTTGCTACAATCAGCAGATCACTACTGTGAGCACCAGCAATCACTCCTGGATGGTTAAACCTGAGTTTCTGGTTACCCCAGAGTTGCTGAAATAGTTCCTGGTCCCATTTTCACTACATGAAACACCCAGCCTTTCAAAATAGTAGGACTCTCATAGCATTTGCCCAGTGGAGGCATGGCATGCATTTAGATTATTTATAGCATACTTACAAATCTCTGTTTCTTAGCCAGCATAATCCCTACATTTCTGTGGGCACTAGGATGGGAAAACTAAGCTTACATAATAAAAGGACTGACTGACTGCAACTTTTATATCCAAGTAAGAAAGATGGCTGGTTTCTCTCTTCTCTGATCTAGTGTCTTCTCAGTGTTCAACAAGATTACTCTTCATTGTCTGTCACTGAAAGAGTTAACTGAAGGATATAGCTGGGTAAATGCAAGGGTAACTTGTGTCTATAGACTATGGCATCTCTCCTTCAAAAGCCATTCGGTGCAGTGGTTAAAGTGCTGACCCAGGAGTGGGAAAACCCCATTCCAATTTTCCCTTAGGCAGGAAGCCAGATATATGACTTTTGGCAAGTCTCTCAAGCATAGGAAGAAGGCACTGGCAAGCCACTTCTGAAAAGGTTCCCAAGAAAACAGCAGGGACTTCTCCATTCAGTCACAAGAAGTTCAAGACTAGTGACAGCAAAAACACTCTCCTTCACAAGGCTGCATAGGCATTTGTATCTTCTTCATAGGCCTTATAAACTGAGCAAGATCAGTGCCACTGCAGGACTATCAGATCTGCACTGAAAACATCTGGACAACTAGATGGCAGCAATGACACGCATACCACTTTTGCAGCACTCATTTGGTTGCTCTCAGCCATTGCAGAATTCAGGATACATGACAAAATCTAGGACATTGCTTGAGGTTATTATGGTAGATTGCACAATGGATAGAAAATTAAATGGATAAGCAGACAGATAGGGAGAGTTCATTTTTCTGGACTTTCTTCAGTAATTTTACTCCTATCAGCCCTGCTGCTTCTGCTCTCTCTTCATCCCACAGAATCTATCTGCGGCCACGTGTGCTGCGGGATATGTCGACAATAGATCCAAGGACCACGATTCTTGGCTCTGAAATTGACTTCCCAGTGGGGATTGCTCCCACTGGCTTCCACGGTTTGGCCTGTCCTGATGGAGAACAGAGCACAGCTCGAGGTATGCAAGAATCTTTTTCCCTAGCAACTTTATTGGCCAAAAATAATTTTGCTGAAATAGTTCCTGGTCTATGGGATTATGGTATGGGCAGGGGTGAAATCTAAATTTTTTTGTTACCGGTTCTGTGGGCGTGGCTTAATTAGTGGGCGGGGCTTGGTGGCAAGGTGACTGGGTGGGTGTGGCCAAGTCAATGTCACTTCTTTGCCCTTTTTTAACTCAGAAAACACAACACAACACAACTGGCTCACCCACAATGTAAAAGCAGCTGTGCTAGACTCAAAATGGCCCCACAACAAGCAGGAACCTCACACAGCCACAAAAAGCCCAAAAAAACAACTTTCACACTTTACACACACACAACACAACACAACACAACTGGCTCACCCACAATGTAAAAGCAGCTGTGCTAGATCCAAAATGGCCCCTGCAACAAGCAGGAACCTCACACAGCCACAAAAAGCCCAAAAAAACAACTTTCACACTTTACACACACAAAATTCCACATACAGCTTTGTGAGATTTTGTGTGTTTGTGTAGTTAGAGTGAAACACTACAGAAACACACTAAATCTCAGAAAGCTGCACAAATTTTATTTTATTTTATTTTATTTTTATTTTTATATAAAAGCAGGTAAATTTAAAACTTTAAATGGCTAGGTCTAAAAAAAGAACAACTAAAAAAAACCCCAATTAACTATTTTTTTTTAAAGTTCCCAAAGGGGAAAAAAACTTACCCAATAGAACAGGGGTCTCCAACCTTGGCAACTTTTAAGACTTGTGGACTTCAACTCCCAGAATTCCTCAGCCAGCTTTGCTGGGAGTTGAAGTCCACAAGTCTAGGCAGGAAGGCAGGCAGGCAGAAAGAGCTGCTCACCGATGAGCTTGATTGCAGGCAGGGAGATTCAGTTGCTTGCTGATGCATGGATTGCGATCGTCATGTGATCAGCAGCTAAGGTAAGCAAGCTGGAGGCTGGGAGGGGAGGAGAGAAAAAAAGAAACTTTTTTTCTTTTACATGGCTCTGGCGATCCAAGCTGAGTTGCCTGATTAGCAGGCAACTCAGTTGGGATGTCAGAGCTTGGCTGGTCAGAGCCATTTAAAAGGAAAAAAAGGCTCTGATGATCACGGGGCTCAGCTGGGCATGGGGGGCAGAGGCAGGGATTTTTGCTACCAGTTCTCCGAATTGCCCATCACCATAGCTACCTACTCGCCCGAGCCGATCCAAACCGGGAGCATTTCACCCCTGGGTATGGGGGTTCAAAAGAAAACAATCCATTGTAAATCTATCCATCCACCCATCCGTCTGTCTGTCTGTCTGTCTGTCTGTCTATCTATCATCTAAAGAGCCGCGATGGTGCAGTGGTTAGAATGCAGTACTGCAGGCTACCTCTGCTGCCAGCAGTTTGGCAGTTCAGGTCTCACCGGCTCAAGGTTGACTCAGTCTTCCATCCTTCCGAGGTGGGTAAAATGAGGACCCAGATTGTTGGGGACAATATGCAGACTCTGTAAACCACTTAAAGAGGGCTGTAAAGCACTGTGAAGCAGTATTTAAGTTTAAGTGCTATTGCTATCATCTACTAAACCTAAATGGTAATTGTAAATTTATAGAGAGAGACAACAGAACACACTACTTGTTTCCCACAGAGTACCTGCACTGTGAGTCCACCCAGTTTCTTTTAGTAGGGAATCACATGCAGGGCTTGAACTGCTGCATGCAAAATATATGGCACTCCAGGAGGCAAGGGTTCCTTAAGCAACCAATTTGACCCCCAAATAGATAGCTAAAGGAGGACAAAAAAAGATCTGAAGGATTGAGCTGCTCCTGCTTAACTTACTTTTGGAGGCAGGTGTTTGCTATGCTTTCCCCTTGTGCCATGAAGATTGTTGTGGCAAGTATCCCAAAGGGGATACAATCTGGAGCCTTTCTACTTTGGCTTTGTATTCATTCCTCTAACACAGAATTCTGACGTACTACTTTTATATACAAGTGCACACGTAAATATGTGAGTGGGTATATACATGAACTATGTCTATCCCTCCCTCCCTCCCTCCCTCCCTCCATCCACTGCTTTCTTCCTCCAACCTTGCCTGTAACTGCCTGGTCAAAAGTCCAGCTAAGGCATTTCATTTGGCTCCATGCCAGTATTAACTGCACTGCTGCTTACTGTCAGGGAAATGGGGCTGGACTTTTAAGGCACTCAGAATTTGGAAAATATGGACAGGACTTGCAACAATGTAGGATAATGACTGATAGACTTCTATGTAGAAAATGTTCTGTCCACTGCTAATACATTTCTTTCAGTCACCTAAATGACAGCGATGTAAGAAGATGTCTTGAAGTGGGCAATGCCATAACAAAATATATTATATCTGATGTAGCAGCAAATGGAAAAGTTCTCTGCTGACTGGCAAACATTGCCAAGGGCTGATTGTGAATCAGGCCATCGGCTATTAATCATAGAAAGGTATCAGACTGAAAGAGACTTACAGTAAAGAGGATTAAACTAATGAGATATAACCTTGAATACATTTCTGAAGAATATGAAGCTAAAAACAGTTTCAAAGTCTGGAACCTTGTGGACAGAGTACCTGAAGAATTGTGGGGAGAAATTAAAATGATCATAAAAAAGAAGAAAGCTAGAAAACATATAATAAGAGCCAGAAAGAAACAAAGGACACACTTTTTCAAGGGGCAACTGCTACTTCAGAGCTGAAGAAGCTTCTTGGATAAGAAGCGAAAATCTTCAAAGAAAAGCCAGAAAGTCTAGTTGCCCCTTGAAAAAGTACCTTTGGGACAACCATGACCTGGATTACTGAGAACCTCCCTAAAGGACAAATTCTTTTCAAATAAAGTTATAGGAAAAATAGAACTAGCAAAAGCCACTGATTTGGGGAAAACTAAAGAGATTAATACAAACTTCCAAGAAGTGATAAACCGGTATACCTGAACTCAGAATACAGATAAGTTGAAAAAACAACAGTATAGGAAGCACAAAGGATCTATTTAAGAAAATTAGAAGAATCATGGGAAGCTTCCCATCTCAGTGATATAAGAAACAAACAAGAAGGAAGGAATTAATGAAAAACATGTATAAGAAAAACAACTCAGATGAGACCATAGTCAAGACAAGAATCTGAGGATGAGCTTGAGGAGCAAGTCAGATGAACTATAAACCTGTGAGCAAATATAAAGAGTGAATGAAATCTCCATAGAGTTCTTAAAGGGTCTAGAATGGAAGCAATATACTGTAGAACAAGTCAGCCCCCTATGAACAAACTGGGGGGGGCGGGGGGGGAAGCAGCATGGCTCCATGCAGAAGTAAGATCTAAAATTGTTGAATTTCCTAAAATGGGAGATTTAAAGGAATGTTATAACTATAGAATAATAACTCTAACAATACATCCACCACATGCCAGGTAGATGCTGTTGAAAATCCTTCAGAAGAGAGTATATGAAAGACAAATTGCAAATTAACAGGTAGACTTCAGAAGGAACAAGGGAATATAAGGTCATATTGCTAATATTTATTTATTTATTTATTTTATTAGTTTGATTTATATGCTGCCAGAGACTCAGCATTAAGCAATAGCCTTCATACTTTTGTATATACCTGCTTAGTAGGGCTTTTTGGGGGGCCACCCTAAGCGGTGTTCTATTTTATACAAAGTCAGCTTATTGCCCCCACAAACCGGGTCCTCATTTTACCTACCTCGAAAGGATGGAAGGCTGAGTCAACTTTGAGCCTGGTGAGAATTGAACTCGCAGTAATTGCAGGCAGCTGGCAGCTAAGTGCTACTTTAACAGCAGTTTTTAGTCCACTGCGCCACCAAGGCTCTTTATTAGGTGGATGATGGAAACAGCAGCAAATTAAGAAGAGCCTTATTGTTTAATAAACTATTCCAAAGATTTTTGAAATCTCTCAAAGCAACGTGTATGCCAAGCATTCAGTTCTTCTGATGCAAAATCTCTAGAATAACCAAGAAATTGCAGTAAGAATCGGACTCTTCAGAGAGGCTGGGGCTGTCCCTCTTACAACAGCAGCATCTACAGGCAATTTTAGTCCTGCCTCTTTGTATCTGTCACACAATGTTGATGTACATACAAAATGGACAGAGCTTCAATTACAGTGGCACCAATTGACTCTTCCCCACACCACAGTCTTTAACTGGGACACCACACTTAAATCGGGATTTATGGGCTGCATGGGAAGCACTAGATGATTAGGCTGGGACTTAATTATAAAAGTCAGTTTTGATCCTTTCCCCCTTTTCCTTTTCCTTTTCCTTCCGTATTTTCTAAAGCGGCAGAAGCTATGAATACCTGCTACATAGCCAGCACTTATTCCACTTTCTCTGTGGAAGAAATTGTTGCTGCTGCACCTACTGGTTTACGGTGGTTCCAACTCTACCTCCATCGGAACAGGAGGTTCTCAGAGCAGCTGGTACAACGGGTTAATGCATTGGGATTCCAGGCCCTGGTGCTCACAGTTGACGTTCCCTATGCTGGCAAGAGACGGAATGATATTCGCAACAATTACCAGTTCTTGAAATCCATTCAAGTGAAGAACTTTAAAGGAGCTTTTGAGGTTGGTAACTCCTAAAACCCATCGGTTTAAAAAAGCATGTGAAGGAAAGGATGGTGGATCTTAGAATCCAAACATGCTTGCACATTTTAGAATCCTGGCTGAGTTTCCGAAATGTGCAGTCTGTAAACTAGGGTTTAGAATTGCCTACCTATGCAGCTTCCACTACTGAGGCATAAACTGTTTCTAAGACTGAATCTTCTGAATTAATGATGTGACCGTGAAAACCTCACCCTAAACAGCTGTACGTGAGCTTCCGGAAGGACAACTTCATGTGATGTTTAAACGTAGCAAGTTCACATCTACAGAATTCATTTCTGAGGTATTATCTTCTGAATTACTAACAACCTATAATGTTAACAGATGACTAAATTATCTCTCTCTCTGAAAATTATTTTAAAAATACCAATATTAATTATTGATCAATTTTGTCTGACTGCTCCACAGATGGTTGAATGACCATCAGTTGAGGAAGCTATAATAATGGATTCCTATATTTGGCAGGAATGAATAATTTCCTTTCACCCCTGGAAGGAAATTATCCATTATATTGTATTGTTCTTAGGCAAATATTCTAATAAAGATATTTCATTAGTAGCACTTAATATTTGATATTTAAGTAACGATGTGTAATATTTACTACTAATATGAGTACATATGGTTTTATGAAGGACATTTCATTTTTATTTTTCCTGTGGAAATTCTGAAACTCAACATTTCCCAACCATTACTTTGTCATTTTGGCCTTAGACCAGAAATGCCACCAAAAGGGCCTTATAGGCTAAAAAAGAACACCTATCTGGACTTATTCACACTACATTGTGTGAACACTACATCACAATGGTTGAGCCATTGTGACAATATAGTTCTTTGTGATCCACAGGTCTTAATTATTCACACAGAAAATGACCAAGACCATTATATATACAATAATATGTAATAAAAGCCTGAGCTATCCAAAATTAAATCTATGACATTCCTCAAAATAAGCTCAAGTATGATTGATTAGCTGGGGAGGGAGGATGAATCCAAATCCAGATTTTTAGAATATACTTTGCATATTTGTACTTGATAGTCAGAAATATGCATCTGCTGGAAGGGGTTTGTTGCGGGATTTTTTTTTTGGCTCAAACTATCGAAATGGTCAACGTGAAAAAAAGACTGTTCGTTTTTATGGAAAGTCAGGCGACTCTTAAACTCTGCAAGTTTTGAAAGTCCTGGTGAGGAAAACCTTCATCAGCTGTTTAAGATGGAAATGCCAAACCTTTAGTGACTAACCATGGGGAGGGGGCAGAGAAACAGATTTCCAACTTCCACCTTCCTCTACTTGAGAAAAGGGTCATGGAAAGGCAATGCAATCCCAAACGAGAAGAAGTTTTCCTGGTTACAGTAAATGAATTCTTGGGGTAATTGTTCACTCTCTACCAGACTGTATTAAGCAATGACCAGGAAAAAAAGAAATCCCCTTGAACTATGAAAGGGTATTTGGCATTTCCTCATCACTAAATTACATCCTGCCCTTCCTTTTCCTGGATCTCTATCTCTATCTTCCCAGGGAAGGAAGCTCACTCTGCTATTTTCTCCCATTTTCTGTGGTTCTCCTTGTGTTAGCTACTGAAGCGACATGTTCTTGGGCATCCTGAGGCTAATTGGGGTGCTGGTGTTCCTAGAGGGTATTTTAACCTTCATTGTCACAACCCTTACAATCTCTTGCAAACTTACAAGGCTTCCTTACAGCAAAATGAGGAATGGCAAAATATTGTCAAAAGGCTACTGATATATTAGAAGTTGAGACCTGAAGCACCAGAAAATTTTGGAGGATATTCATGAAATTTGTCAGCTTTAGAGTCTGGTACCCTGATCTTCTTGTCAGCAAAACAGAAGGCACCTATTACAGCATGCTGGAGAGTTCTTAGGTGAATTCAAGCGTTCCGTGGGACATATGTAAGACACTTGGAAGCACCTTATAAAAAGATAATTATTTTGGAACAGCAGATATTAACGAATACATCAATGATAGGAAAAATAAATTATATACAAACCTAATCATATTACTGGAGAAGTGTTAAATTATAATAATTTGATTTATATAAATCAAATAAAAAAAATAATATTGCCGGACCTGTAAGCTAGCATTTACTTAAACAGACGTATGCATACAATGAACAATGAAGTTTCCGTCTTCCTCTCTCCTTCAGGATGAAGACCAGACTGAATATGGTCTGCCCCCTGGATCCATAGACCCGTCTATCAATTGGAATGACATCACCTGGCTACAAAGTCTGACCCAGCTGCCAATCATCATCAAAGGGATTCTGACAAAGGAAGATGCTGAGCTAGCTGTGAGACATGGGGTTCAAGGGATTATCGTATCCAACCATGGAGGAAGACAGCTAGATGGAGTCCTTCCTACTGTAAGTCATGAGCCATTATTTATCCTATTTGCAATCTGTCTATAGCAAACAATGTTGCATTTTCATTGTAAGGATCCTTCCTGAGTAAAGTTAAAGTTAGAAAACTATAACACCATTTAAAATGTGAGCTCCATCCATCCAGTTGCTAGAGTCCCAAACTCCAAGCTTCACAAAATAAAAAACAGAATAAACATCATAGTATAACATATGGCAAAGCAGCAATAAAATTGTTACTCTGCATCATAGACAGTAAATCATTATAGTAGCTATTGATAAAAATAAAAAGAAATCTTCTTGTAAAAAGTTTTAATCGGCTTTTGCAAAACTTGTTAATAGGATGTTAATGTATTTGGGGTCTCTCTTGGAAAGGAATTCCTGAGCTTAAGTACAGCCCCTGAAGATCCATTTCCTCCTCCCAATCAAATGGATATCGGGGATTGTTGAGATATGCAAGAGGTTCTTGGCCAATAATTTGAATAGACAACCAGGTTACACAGAAGGTTTATGTCCTTCAGATATTCTTGTCTTCAATCATTTGGGATTTTTTCAGCCCTGGAACCTGTATTACTGGGAACTAACTGAAAAAGGGTCTATTTGTTTTAGTTAAGAACTCACACTCACCCCATCCCATGCAATTGTAATAATTTAATTTGATTGATCATGTTTGCAGATTGCTACTCTGGGTGAAGTTACTACTGCAGTGCAAGGCAAAATCGAAGTTTACTTGGATGGTGGAATACGAACGGGGAATGATGTATTGAAAGCATTGGCACTTGGAGCAAAATGTGTCTTCATCGGCAGACCCACAATGTGGGGTTTGGCCTATAAGGTGAACATAAGTCTCTGCATATGAGTGGCTATGATAAAAAGTTGAAGATAAATAGCTGTCTCTTTATGTGAACAACTGAAGTCAGCTTCCCCATTTTCTTTAGATTTGCACTCACTAGATAATGCTTCCCATTTGATTTCATACTGCATGCCTGTCTAACGATCAAGCTTAATGTACAAACTTGATTTATTCAGTAAGCTTCATTACGTCTGCTCACATTCACATAGACCCATATACACACATTTTTAGATTTACTTCAGGTCTCTGATGCAGGAGGCTCTTAGCATGACAAGTTATGATTCAAGCAAGGATAGTGGAGAAAAATTTCTATGCAGAATGGGAGTTTTAAATCAAGTTGATTGTTCACCATAGGAAAAGCTGGTATTCAGAAAGCAAAAGCTGAGTTTTTACAAACAAGTTCTTGGTCAGGCATAAAAAAAAATTCTGCTAGTATTTAGTCTTGGTCTCTCGTGTGCTTGAGCACATCTCTGCCTTTTTATAGATCATTATACCCTTTCCTATAAAGACAAAGCTAATTATAGCCACAACAATATGCTTTACTGAATTTTATGATAGCTGGAGGCATGGAAGTTTAGAAAAAAATGGAAAAGAAGAAAGCGATGGTATGTTATAAGGTTGCTAGAACTGCACTAAAATGAAAGTTCTAATTAAATCATTCTGGAGAAAATTATGTTCTCCTTGAAGACATCTGCAAAAGGGTCAAAAAAGTCAAGTTGGTAGCCATGATGATTACAATCAAAGCCTTGGCCCCTTTTACATGAACAAGTTAAAACATGGAGATATTTTATAATGTTGATACGCCAGGTTAAAACTAAGAAACAAAGTAGATCATGGAAAAATTGAAACAAGACAATGCACACCAGCAGTTTTCAAACATTCCAAGTGTTTTCCATAAGATCAAAGACTATTTAAATCTTATTTTTACCTGGGTGAAGTATGTATATTGCTTCAGCCATCAGTAGGCAGAGATGAGCCACATTTATACATCATTCAAAAGAGACAATAAAAAAGCTACAAAAAAAAAAGATCAGAACACATGTTCTCCACATTTAAAAGAGGGAGGATCTTGCTTGTATAATTAGAATTGCCATCTTGATTTTTTTGGCTCTCCCCCTCCCAGTGTCCCCATTTTCTGGTATCCAACAAATAAATAAAACCTTATCTTTTTTCTAGACCCACCTGACAGTTGTATTCTCCTAATCCAGAATTGATCCCTGTTTTCTACACTGGTTTCAGTTTTTTTCTGGTTATGAGCTATGTTGCAAATACTGTAGTAACATAATAATAATTAGTAGGAACATAATTCCATGATCCTTAGATCAAATTTGCAAGATTCTAAAATTTACTCCACTAAGCAGAAACAATTATACTGAAAGTAGCTCACTAATGCTTTTCTGGTCTCAAAAATTCACAGATAATTTATTGTTAAGACACACATCTGAGAAACAGCAAATGGTTTTGAAAAATGTGCATAAAATCGGATAGCTTTATTATTTTTTTAAAAAAGTCAATAGAAACAATTTGCACCTTTAAAAATTTCTTCTCAATGCTTTTATATGAGCACCTATGTATTTTGGTGGAACTAGCATATGAAAAGTCTGAATGGAGGTTAAATATGTAAATGAAACCAGAGACAGATTTTAAGGATTTATTTTAATCCATGAAAAAAAGTTGCAACCCGAAACAGTACCAAGAAACCTGGATGGTAAATGAAATGGTTGAAGCAGATTCATACATATCTAATAACTAGTTCAAACTTCCCTACTGTGCCAATTTATTTGGTCTCTCAACAATGCTGTTAGAGAAAGTGAAGATTCCCAAATACTCTTGGGAATGGCTAAGAGACAAGTAATATTTTTTTGAGAACTGGAAATGGAATATAGTTAGCCTACATCCCTTTTCTCCCAGTCAAGGCACTAGCATCTTGCTCAGATAGGGTCAACAGGTTTTACATAGCTTTAAACACTGACAATTCTGATTAGAAACAAAAGAAAATGCTGTTACTGAGAGCCTTTTATTTGAAAAGGCTTTCAGTAACAGGATTCTGCAGGATTCTCTACATCTTCAAGCTAGGTTAGCCACATCATTTACAATGCCATTCATTTTTGAAACAGGGTAAAGAAGGACTTCAAGAACTTTTGAAGATTTTAAAAGATGAATTTTGTCTGTCAATGGCTCTCACAGGTAAAAACATTTTTAATTTACTGTTGTATTTTATTTTTTCATTTCTTTGATTGGTATATCTCTATGTGTTGATTAGATTTGGAAGGCCACTTGACTCTAGAACTATTCTGAGCAGCTTACAGTATAAAACAGGTAAAAAAGATAGAATCTGAAATAGTTCTTCAGTTGTTTCCCATATATAATATAAACACTGACAAGGCTACACAAACACCCATCCCAAGGCCTGGGAAAACAGCTGTGTTTTTAAATTTCTGGAACTTTGTTAGGGTGGAAGCTGGATCTCTGTGGGAGGGGAGATGTCTTGTACCAGAGGACAGTTTCATGACTGAGAAGACACATTTCCTGGGTCCCAATAAACAGCATTTTTTGATTGAAGGTACTTGAAGGGTATCAACTTTGTTCAATCTTACTGATCAGGCAAGCCTTCAAATAACGGAGCCTATGCCTTATACCGGCAGGGCCGGATTTTCCTATAGGCTAACTAGGCTTCAGCCTAGGGCCTCAAGATCAAGAGGGGCCTACATTCAAATTGTTAGCAAAATTAAAATTACACTTTCACTATAGGTGAAAGGGCCTCTTAAGTGGAATAGCCTAGGGCCTCTTTTCATCTAAATCCGGCCCTGTATACCGGTATAAGTACCGGTAGTTACCAGCACCTTAAATTGCACCTGGAAATCCACTGGCAACCTGTGCAGCTCCATTCTATATAATGTATTTTATTATTTTTTATTTTGAATATAAATAATACAAACATAATCCATATAAATATAAATATAAAAAGCGGGGAATACAAATACAAAATATAAATATTACAGTGTATACCCCCGAAGACCTTTTTTTAATATATTTTTTTCTTATATTTCTTCTATAAAACTAAAAGATATACAATATATTCCAATTGTGCCCTTATCCCCTCCAAAACAACATGTATTCTTGACTAGGCTTATTCCCTTTGCCCTTTGTTTTTATAAAATCCCCCCTCTACTTCATTATAATTGTTTACATTAATTGTCCCTTCTTAAAATTTAATTTCTGTTGTTAATTTATTATTTGTTGCCGTACTGCATATTTCTTTATACCACTCATTTCTTTGAATATCCCAATTTCCAAAAAATTTAGAAAAGTGATAAATCAACCATATTCAGAGAATAAAGCGAGAATAGTTATAAATGATGGTCTTACAGAGACAAAAACTTTAAACTGGGGAAAGAGACAGGGTTGCCCTTTATCCCCAGTTTTATTTGCATTATTGATGGAGGTTTTGGCAAATGCAATTATGGAAGATTCATTGATTGAAGGAATTGGTGTACAGAAGAAAACTAAAATACATTTATTTGCAGACGATACATTATTAAGATTTCAAAATCCCGTAGTTATTATAGTCAGGGGACAAAGTTCTATATAAAATTGATATATTCAATTTCAAAATTCATAAGGTGAATTTGCAGAGGAAAGTGTTTTTCAACTGAAAAGTAATTGTATAGATATTCCTCAACTTACGACTACATTTGAGCTTAAAATTTCTGTTGCTAAGTGAGATATTTATTAAGTGAATTTTGCCCCATTTTACAACCTTTTTTGCCACAGTTGTTAAGTGAAACACTGCAATTGTTAAATTAGTAACACGGTTGTTAAATGAATTTGGCTTCCCCATTGACTTTGCTTGTCAGAGGGTCACAAAAGTGATCACATGTCTCCAGGATGCTATAACTGTCATAAATATTAGTCAGTTGCCAAGCAGTTTTGATCATGTGACCATAGGGATGGTCTGTCACTGCGTTATTTTATTTACCAGCTGAGCTCATTATTTCTGGACTGTCAGACTCTCCGTAGCTTTGCCAACTTCTTATCAGTAAGCTACGTGTTTCCGTATCCACCCACATTCCTTCACTTGCTCTTCACACACTTTTTCCTTTGTTCTCTTTCCAGCAAGGTCCAGCTGATATAGCCGGCAAGAATTATTTTCAAAAATGTAACAATTAACTTTTCTTAGTTAGTGAGGTGTTTTATTTTCTTTATAACAAATAAATGAGTTTTATTAGAAACCTTCCTCGCGTTTCTTTTTGGAATATTGCAAACAAGGATAAGCCTCGATTCATCTCCTCCTCTAAACCAGGGTAATTAGTCCCAGAGCCAAACATGGGATTAATAAATGCCCTGACATTCTGATAGCATGAGGATGGTCTGATTTATGGCTTTTTCCTTGTTTTTGTTACTTCTGATAAGAGCGCATAGGCAATTAGTTTTTAGCTACTGAGGTACGCTAATTATATTGCTGAGATGCCGAAACAGAAGTAAAACAAATACAAAATGTATTTTGCTGAGAAGGTGGCAGAAAGGAGGTTTCCAGATTTTCAGCCCCTTACTACAGCCACACGCCTGGAACAAGAAAAAGCCGTGGGAACAGAAATGGAGACAGATAAGACAGAAGCTGTTTTTGAAGATGATGATTTACGACTGAGGTCAGTAACATTTTCTTCTGGTCTTCCAAGCTCTGAAAAAGTCTTCCCAGAACCTTCTGAATTTGTAACGCTCGATGCAAGGCCAAAGCACACTGCTGAGCAAAATTCCTCCCACACAGAGAGAGAAACAATTCATTACTCTTCTCAAAGCCCTGAGCTCACCCAGCGTGAGATGGCTATGAAAGCCTATCGTGACCGTATAAAACTCTATGAACAGCAGCTATCCCAGGCAAAAATGGCTATAGCTATGCTTGAGCAAGATATGGGAGATAACTTAAATTTTTCAAAAAGCGCCATATTGTCTTCTTGCTCAGAGCCAAAGACACTCCCCCTGGTGGATTCTGTGTCAGGCCAATTAAGACAGAGGGCACTGCATATGTCACATGAAAGTCTCCCTGATCAAGTTACACATGTCTTACATAACCACTCCTACTCAAAAGCATACAATGCCCCGTATGCAAAGCTGCCCGAAGCTAAAGGTGCAGCGCCATCTGCTGGCAAAAGTAATTTACTACAAGAAGCTGAAATGCCACAAGTGTCTCCACAGGCCCAAACTCAAACACCCCCTGGTGGTGTTGGTGTCTTTTTAGATGGAACACAATTAAACTTAATGAAGCAAAGGCAAATGATTGCATCTCCAGCAGGTCATGCCGATATTGCAGCTCAAGCACAAATGGCAACTGGAATACAGCAGATTCCAGTGCATCAGCCACAGCAGCTACAAATGCCTGCATATGTGCCCCAGCCACAAGTGCAAATAGGGCCACCTCTTGGCCCACCTCCAATGGCACAACCAAGACCATTTTTAGGTCCACAACAGGCACAGCAAATACCACAGGCATTCCTGCCAGCACAGCCAGCATACCAAGTGCAGGCTCCTCACCAGGCATTTTCTGTCTCTCCACTAACTGGTGAGTCAAAACTAAAAATGTCAGGACACAATTACAAAGCCTGGGTCAGTGAGATTACACTATTGCTTCTTAGAGAAGGCACGCACTGTATGGTATTTAACCCACCTGCTCAACCATGGGACTTTGCAATAAGAGATTTAGAGATAAGGGCTCGCACAACATTATTGATGTCCATGGATACTGAAAGGCAGGTCACTTTTCCAGCAAATACAACGGCCCGACAAATTTGGGCTGAATTGGAAAATTGCTACAGGCCTATCTCAATTGAATCTTCATGTTTACTCATGTCTGAACTCCACGGTTCGAGATTGAAACCTGGTGAACAAATTGGAGGACATTTGACCAAACTGAAAGGTCTGAGAACAGAATTGAGAGAAAGAGGCCATAACATTGAAGATATTCAAAAGATCAGCATCATTATTAACTCTTTGAATTATGAATGGAAAGATGCTGTTACAAAAATTAACCAAGTCCCTATTGCTCAACGCACAGTGGACAATGTCTGTAGACTTTTAATTGAAGAAGAGGCATTCATGTTGGCCACGCCACATTTGAGAGGACCACCCGCATCAAGAGCTCCAGCTAGGCGCCCCTTCCGAGGAAGGACCTACGCTCCAAGGATGCCAAGATGCTACACCTGCGATCGTGTGGGACATGCCACCCGGGATTGTCCCCAACGAGTTCCAGCTCCTGTCACATACCAGCCCAGAGGAACAGATTCCAGAGGCAGAGGCAGAGGCGGAAGACAAGGTCGTCGTGGTCCCCGGCGTGATCCACAAACTCCACTCGCCACGTTGGCTTTAACCAATGATCCACAACCTCAACCAGAGTACGACAGACGACTCCTGTGGACTTTGGACAGTGGTGCAGCATTGCATGTCACCTACAGAAAGGAACTTTTCACAGAAATGCACGAGCCTGAACCTGAACTACGTGAACTTTATTCTTTCTCCAATCATCCTTGTCAGGTCAAAGGAAAAGGAACTGTTTATGTTGAAGAGCTCGATGCATTCATTCCTGATGTTTATTACATACCAACAGCAACCAGTAATTTGCTTAGTCAGTGTCACTTGTCTAGAATGTTAAAGTTCCAAGTTCACCACCTTGAAAAAGCAAGTTACATAGTTAAAGATGGAGATATTGTTGCTGAAACCATATTAATTGGTGGTGTTTATTACTTAAAGCCAAAGCCTAAAACACAAATACAGGCAAGTATGCAAACTCCAAAAAGGGAGAGCACAGGCCCAGATAGAGATGCTCCAGTGAGAGATCCTGTTGCTATTCCTAAGGCTCCTAAAGCCAACAAAAATAGAATTGGTAAACAGGTTGCTCAGAGCAAGCCTGAGGTTCCGCATAAAAATGTTAATGTTGAGAATTCACTAACAGGTAAACCTTTGCATTCCAGGTGTATCCATAAATGGCATAGAAGATTGGGGCATGCCAGTTTCCGTGTTCTTAGGAAGATGCAGGAGTTCGCAAAAGATTTGGATCTAAAGGGGTGTAAGGTGTTTTTGGATTGTGCTGTATGCAAGAAGGCCAAATCCAAAGCAGCAGCCATTCCCAAACGCGCTACACGCCTGTCAACATGCATTTTTGATTTGGTTCACATTGACATAGTTGGTCCATTCCCGCCATCATTTGGTGGTAGAAAATATTTTCTAACAATTGTTGATAATTACTCTAGATATGGATATGTATATCCTATGAAAGAAAAATCAGAGACCTTTCAGATCTTTAAAGACTTTGCAACCCTTGTTTCTACCCAACACCAAGTTCGCATCGCCAGAATCCAGAGTGATCGTGGTGCCGAATTCATGTCTCAGCGTTTCCAGGACTGGATGCGTAAGAATGGAATTATTCATCAGACTTCACCCCCTGACACACCGGCTCACAACGGAGAGGTACTGCAAACCATGATGCGTTGTCTCCTAGAAGACGCCAACCTTGATATGATATACTGGGGTGAAGCTATCAAGTATGCAAATTACATTGTCAACCGTACTTGGAGCAGTGTAACAAATCAGACTCCTTTCTTCATGTTGTATGGCTACAAGCCTGATCTTAAAAACATCCATATTTTTGGTTCATACGCTATGGTGAACATTCCCTTAGCTCAAAGAAGAAAAGGAGGTCCAGCAGCAAAGAGACTGAGATTTATGGGTATTGATGATAACTCAAAATGGAGCAAATTTATTGACTCTAAACATGTAATTGTGATTTCCCAATCTGCTAATTTTGAAGAAGATATTGACTGGTCCAGGATTCATTCCAATGATCCTGGAGTTTATTTTCCTAGAGATGATACTGCTGATGCCACGCAGATTGATGATCAAGATTCCACTGGTTCTTCTCAACCCGATGTTCCATCTTCGCAAGCCGCGGATGCTGACGCTAGCGACGAAAGTGAGGATGAGGACGAAGCAGAAGAAGACTGGACAGTTGTCCCGAGACGTTCTAAGAGGGCCACAAAAGGAATCCCTCCACAACGATATTCTTGGCAACTGACAAAAGCACCCTTGCCTTTGATTTGCAATGTCACACTTCCACCTGATAATTTCACACAAATCAAGCAGCTCCCTGATTCAGAGCAAGACAAATGGTATGAGGCAATGCAGGCTGAAATGGACAGTCTAAAGAAACTTAAAGTATTTACACCTGCAAAACCTCCAGCAAACAAAAAGGTCATTGGCGCTCGATGGGTCTACAGAATCAAAAAGAAACCAAATGGTGAGTCATTGTATAAGGCCAGACTTGTAGCTCAGGGTTTCGCTCAACATTATCCTGAGGACTACACAAATACCTACTCACCGACAGTCAGAACTGAGAGTGTAAAAATTGCTTTAGCAACAGCAACTATCCTTGGTTTAGAAGTTTTACAGTTTGATGTTGACACGGCTTATCTACATGCAGACCTAGATGAAGAGATCTACGTGAGAGGTCCTCCAGGATTCCGACAGCAAGAAGGGGATACCTGGTTTCTAAACAAAAGTCTTTATGGTCTGAAACAATCTGGTTTAATGTGGTATTTATGTCTTATTGACAAACTAAATTCAATGGGCTTTATTAAGTCCGAAACTGATGAGTGCGTGTTCACAAAAAGATCTAACAATGCATATGAGATAGTTCTTGTTTATGTTGATGATATTGTTTATATTGGTCCAAATAAGCAAATGAGTGAAATTTTTGCCAAAGCTTTGCAGAGATACTTCACATTGAAATCATTAGGTCATATTAGCACTTATTTAGGTGTTCAGATTGAAAAAACACAGAAGGGGTTTAGTCTTTCACAAGAAGATAAAATTGAACAAATTTTGCATCATTGCAACATGAAAGATGCTAACACAACAAAGACACCCATGCAAACAGATTTTCATAACTTGACACAAGAAGAAAGTCCTGAATTCGAGGATCAAACACTTTATCGTTCAGTCATTGGGTCACTATTGTACATTAGTAGTTGGACCAGACCCGACATTGCACTTAGTGTTAATCTCTTATCACGACACGTAGGTAAGGCAAAACAATTTCATTGGACATGTATTAAGAAATTATTGAGATACCTAAAATACACTAAACACATGAAGTTATTGTTAGAACCAACACATACTGATTATGCAGAATTATGTTGTTATGCAGATTCTGATTGGGCAAGTGATAAGAAATCACGTAAAAGTACTTCAGGTTATATGATGTTCTTAAATGGATGTCCTGTTTATTGGCAAGTACGTAAACAGAATTTTGTTTCTTGTTCATCTACTGAAGCTGAATATGCTTGTGTTTCAGATGCATGTAATTCCCTAACTTGGTTTGATGCTTTAGTCACAGATATCTGGACACACCCGATCCAACCGATCACCGTGATGGAAGACAATGAATCGGTGGTTTATATTTCTGAATCTCATTTCACAGGTTCTAGGTCCAGACACATTGACATTCGTTACCAAAACATAAAGCATTTAGTGAAAAAAGGTTTTGTCAAAATGCAATATGTATCTACACATGATCAAATTGCTGATATGCTTAACAAACCACTTCCAGCAGCTCAACACGAGTATCTGCGTGAGAAGATGTGCCTTATTTGATGATGTACTGATATTCGCTCAACTGGCAAAGAAGGGGAATGTCACTGCGTTATTTTATTTACCAGCTGAGCTCATTATTTCTGGACTGTCAGACTCTCCGTAGCTTTGCCAACTTCTTATCAGTAAGCTACGTGTTTCCGTATCCACCCACATTCCTTCACTTGCTCTTCACACACTTTTTCCTTTGTTCTCTTTCCAGCAAGGTCCGGCTGATATAGCCGGCAAGAATTATTTTCAAAAATGTAACAATTAACTTTTCTTAGTTAGTGAGGTGTTTTATTTTCTTTATAACAAATAAATGAGTTTTATTAGAAACCTTCCTCGCGTTTCTTTTTGGAATATTGCAAACAAGGATAAGCCTTGATTCATCTCCTCCTCTAAACCAGGGTAATTAGTCCCAGAGCCAAACATGGGATTAATAAATGCCCTGACATGGTCATTAGTGTGAAAAACGGTAATAAGCCATTTTTTTCAGTAACTTTGAATGGTCACTAAGTAAAGTGTTGTAAATCGAGGACTAACTCTATTTGAAAGTCAGGGAGTGGGGTGGATGCAAAATTAGATTTCCATGTTTAAATGTACTTCTATTCATCAGCTCATAACAAGAAACTTGAATCTGTTTTAATTTTTTTTCTTGATGAGCCTTAATTGTTTTCTGGGTATACTAGGTTCTTTTAACCATTTGCATATTTTCTTTTCACTTAGGCTGTAAAAATGTCTCAGAAATTGGCCGGCATCTTGTTCAGTATTCCAAATTGTAAAGAACTCTTCTGCGACACTCACCAGACCAGTAGTAGCATGGTAGCTAAAGAAAAGAAAAGAAAAACTCTGGATGATTAAAAGCAAGGGGGAGACCTCGGCCACCAACCACATGTCAAAAGGTTGTCTGATGAAATTTTTGCAGTCCCCTGAAATAAATGGGACTGGCCGATACTGAACTGTGAATAACTGGGAGCCCCATTCTTTTGCATGCCTGTCTTCATGATACCCAGCTAGGAAACATTCCATAAAAACTTTCAATTTTACTACATTCTCCTCCCTGAATTAAGTGTGTGAAATGCCATACTATCCAATGATTTATGTGTTTTACTTTGAATAATACAATAAAACGAAATCATGGTATCACTTACTTAGAATGGCAATATTAGGCTACGGAGTCCAAGTACAGTTCAGTGATGAAATCTTAATTAAAACATCCCTGGCAAGTTTCTATCCAGCATCTGTTTGAATACGTTCAACAAAAGAGAAACGACCAACTTGCTAGATTAAATATTCTTTTCATTAGGTTTCTTTTTCCTTACTAGAACCTGTCTTTACAACTCTGAAGTGCTCCCAGAGGATCAATCACTCCATTAATCAGAACTCACCATTCCTGGTCAATAGATGATCCCAGAAATGCATCAGCCAATCTCTATTCATCTTCCAGTTAGAAGGGAAAACTACCTGTGTGTCCCCCGCCCCCAAGACTGTAAAAACATTTGCTGATGAGGGAAGAAGTTCTCAGTTTAACTACCGTGACATCAATATGGCAACAGGAAGTCAGACCTGTGTGATGGTAAAACCCAATAATGGCTTCATACAATTACCAGGGAGTACAACTCATTTTTGATTGGCTTTGCACAAATCCATCTGTAATGATAGAGAATAGCTAGGCTTCATCTACAGTATGTGACACTTATTCAGATATTTGAGAGCACTCTTATAGGTATCTCCCTTTCAATAAAATCTTCTCAAAATGTAGCATGCTTAGCAATGTTCATTGTTCTTCACAGGGCTTGGTCTCTGGGCTCCTCAATAGAAACTTTCTCTAATCTAATCTAATCTCTTGTTCTCCTGAATTCTTAAAGGGAACCAATTACCAGATATCACAAGTGAACATACTGTATTTGAAGGGGTGTCTGATCAATCCAAAATAAAATAGAACAAGTCCTGTTGTTTATAAACTATACTATATAGTACTGTGTTTATATAATCTAAAATTGGGCTTGTCTTTTTCAAAACCCATCAAGTAGTTCATTCTTATCTATATTCTAAATAGCCACAGTCTATGTGCCTAAAGAGAATCTAATCAATCACTCATTATTATTCAAATAATAGAAATTAAATCAGCATATTATGTGCATATTTTTAAAATCCAAGTACTGAGCATAAGCCTTATAAATTATAACTGTAGCTAGGATTTGCTCATCGTGACTTTTTACCTATAAAATGGGTGAGTAAGCTGTAGGTAAGCATTGCCAGAATATCTTGCCAAAATTTAATAGTAAAGCCATCTAATTTCAATGGAGTGATTTTTCATTTTTGAAATTATTGTAAAGTATTATATTCTGTTCTAACAGTCCAACTCAGGGAAAAATATCATATCACAAACCCTGCAGCCTAAAACTCTGAAATAAAAAGAAAATGCACTCCCTAACTGCAAAGAGATTGTTTAACCCTGCAGCAAAACATGCCTCTAAGTTTTACTACTGTGGTTAAAGGAGGCTGCTCAGAAAAATGATTTCACAAAGTCACACAATACTGAATTTTTGCTTGTAATCCTGAATTCATTGAAGTATATATTATTGTCTGGAATAAAGACCAAAACACAAACTGTTTGGCTGTCATTTTGGTTAGCAAGAAGTCTAGTGTCCCTTGGCATTCCTAGATCCGGCTATAAGCCAGCCTTTCAGTCTGAGGAAGAGCAAAGTTTCTGAGATGTTGCCCCAGAATTGCACCTTCCAGAAGTCAGGTTGTGTGATACAAGTCTTCCTTAAGCTCCAGGAATGGGATCACACAAAACAGATTGGCCCTATGCTGCAGCAAGTTTCCTAAGTAGAAATCAGTATAGAACAGGGGTCTCCAATCTTGGCAACTTTAAGCCTGGAGGACTTCAACTCCCAGAATTCCCCAGCCAGCAAAGCTGGGAGTTGAAGTCTGGGAGTTGAATTGAATTGCAATTCTGGGAGTTGAAGTCCTCCAGGCTTTAAGTTGCCAAGGTTGGAGACCCCTGGTATAGAAAGACAAGGAATTTGCCCAAGTCTGGAAGAAGCCGGAGTCGGAGAGTGATCTGCCAAGCTTCCTGCCCTGCTTTCAGGGCAGAGGTCTGTTGAAAGTTTGAACAGAAAAGAGTTAACCGAAGAAAGTGGCACCATTCCACCAGGTTTGACTGTTGCGAGGCTAAGTTTGCAGGAAACTGCAACTCTTGACTTCTGTAAAAATTTGTTTAGATTCAACATTTGCCTGGAGATAACCATGTCTCTGCTTTCAATTCCCCTCGGCCTTCACTTGGGGCCGCCTGCCTGTTCCACAGATACCTGACCTTGTAGCCAACTCATAACTCCTTAGATAAGAAAACGACTTATCACTTATCAGCCCATCCAATAGATGTCAAGGATCTCCCACAGTGACAAAACTTTCCAAGTAGCCCCAAGGATTTATGAGGGATAGGGGGAAACATACTGAGCTCTTTGAAAAAGGAGGACAAGTATATGAAGATTTGGTTTTAATTATCCATTGTTATTAGAGACAGCCACAGAAATACCAAGTCCAGATCTCTGATTTTTCAGACTGAACTAAATGAAACAACTGTGGCAGCAAATGATGAAGACAGCAGGAAGGACCTGGGTACTTGGTTCAAATTATGTCTATTTTTATTTTATTAGATGTGTTATTATATTTATAAATAACTTGAGGCAGCAAACATATCTAATATTCCTTCCTCCTCCTATTTTCCCCACAACCACCCTGTGACGTGAGTTAGGCTGAGAGAGAGTGACTGGCCCAAAACCACCCAGCTGATTTTCACACATAAAATGGAACTAGAACTCACAGTCTCCCAGGTTCTAGCCTAGTCCCTTCACCACAAGACCAACCTGGCTTTCTTTGTTAAAGCTAAGCAAAAATGGTTGCCCCTCCCCCCAGCTCTTCTCTAAAAACGACTAGTCATGTTTAAATGATAGGATAGAGATGAGAACAAACTCTCACAGCAAAAAAAGAGGTTCTTTCAATGGTTCTCATTATTGCCATGTAAGTGATTGACAGGTTAAGCTTGATACTTCGTCCAAAGGGGGTTTTTTTAATTTAAAAAAAGAAACAGTATATAAATTCGAAACATATGCATTGTGTTAATAATCACAGTGGGTTATGCAAAGTAGAGATTAGAATAAAAGGACTGAAATTGTTATGGTACAGAATGTTGGGGAGATCCAGTCATTGGATTTTCAGTCCCAATACGCAAGATGGAGTCTATTTCAAAACAAAGGCCCATAGGAATTTATTGTGAATTATTTTTGCTTCAAACAACTACAAGTAAATGAAATAAGTTTTATGTCAAACTCTGCTCTGTGCTCATTGTCAAAAGTAATAAAAATGAAGAGGACATTTGAAGCACAAGTTAGCCAGATATAATATTGAATGATGGGGAGGTGGGAGAGAGAGAGAATGCAAATCACTCCTTTCTTACACAGAAAATATAGAAAAAGAAATGGCAGAACATGGAGGCAGAGTTAAAAGAGGGATCTGCCTAGAATTCCTACGTAGCCACAAGTGGACTAAAGTTAACTCCCCTCCTTGAATTCTATGAACTCCAACCAGGTGGATTCAGTGGAGTTTAGTCCTAAGAAAACATCCATAGAATTTTAAAATACACATATAAAATTGATTTTCATTTTTGTAATAGTTCTATACTTTGTATTGTTAAAGCTACATTTATTGAAATGACAAAATTATCTTAATAATAATAAAATGCAAAGAAGGTTCTTTGTATTACAGGTAGTCCTTGTGACTACCTCATACAGTGACCATTCACAGTTATGACTGTGTTTATCATCTTACTGCAGTTTTTCCTTTAGCTTTACAAACCTGTGAAGGTCATAAATGCAAGGATTGGTTGCAAAGTTACTTTTCCATCACCATCATAACTGTGATTGGCCACTATATGAGGCAGTTGCTAAATGAATGCTACCTGTACTTTTTCCATTCTGTTTCCCTTGTCAACACCACTACCTTATATGGCAGTTTCTCTGGAGGATTTTTTGTCTTATTTTGTTTGGTTTGGGCTTTTTTGCAAATCACTGGACAAACTTAGACAATTGATCGAATCATATAACATCCTATATATCCTTGAAAGCAGCCATTTAAGCCATCAGAATCAATCCCCTGCTTACTGCATGGAGCTAATTGAAAGAATTCATGAGAAGAGCTCCAGAACTTCTGCTTGAACATATTCATCAAAGGACACTCATCACCGTCCTTAATTGAGTTTCACAATTGAACTGCTCTGCCTCAGATTGGTAGGGAATTTTTCATTGTAGGCTCTGCCTTCCTTTAAGTTAAA